TAATTAAATGTATAGCTTTAGTTTCCGTTTTTGAAACATGGTAATTTCTGTGTAGCGATAGGACCATATTTTTGAATTAGTAAATTTATAATGATTATGCGCTACAGAATTTTATTGAGCACTGTTTTTAAAAATGAAAATAATTAATAAGAACGCGGGATTATAAATCTTACTGTTCTTTCTCATTATATATATAATATATGTGTGTGTGTGTGTGTGTGTGTGTGTGTGTGTGTGTGTGTGTGTGTGTGTGTGTGTGTGTGTGTGAACTTGTTATAAGTGTGTCCTTGCGAAAGCTAAGTCAAGGTTGAGTTATTTAATGTCGGTTTCGTAATATCCCATTTATTACAACGAATTCAGTTTGGGGAGTAATAAAGATGTTGAAATATATGGTCTGTGTTTGGCATCTCTCCCAACCGTTTTGATCCGAATTAAATTCTGTTATGATTTTTGTAATTCAGTAGTAGACTTACGATTGTCATTATTGATGTTATTCAGGGTATAAATTATCTGTGTCGTTGGCATTTTCGTTGCATATAATAATAATAATAATAATAATTATAATTATTATTATTATTATTATTATTATTATTATTATTTCTGCTGTACACTCATTTCCTTCCGGCTCTCAACTAGAGACCTAAGTTCAGAAATAGCTTCATGAAATTTTCCACTAATAATTTTTGTAAAAAAAAGTATTTATAAAAAAATATCATATATATTTTACATAGATAAAGTTCTGAACTTGTGAGTACAATTTTGTTTTCTTTAAGGTATGGCCTACCAGGAACCCATTCAATTAGACTATCGGCACCCTTTCCAATCAATCCGAGGGCTCCAACTACAAATGAAATTATTGATGCTCTACATGTGACACATTTTTGTGATTTCCACTTCAATATCATTGTATTTTGATAGGTTTTGAAGATTTTCAAATATACATTACAATCTGCAGAGACTGCTATGTGAATAGGAAAGCACATTCTGCTCTTATGGTCTTTGATCCCGATGTCTGAGCGATTAGATTTGATTCTTCTTGTCTGTGTGTATTGTAAAGTACCATAAAATTGTCCAGGTCCTATCTCTGTAACCGGATCCGGGTGAAGCTCATACCAATTTCTTGCAGTTTCCGTCCTGTAAAAGTTGTATATTTTCCAGTGCACATATTGGCTCACTCTATTATGCTGAGATTTATATTCAGTAGGTGCTAAAACTTTGCAACCTGAGACAAGATGGTCAGTTGTTTCTGGATGTTTATCACAAAATCTGCATTTATGGTTAACACAATTTTTTCAGTATGGGTGTTTTGTCCTGTGCAGCAAGAATAAAACTTTCGATTTCAACTTTTAACCCTATGTAACCACTGATGGTTGCAGGGTTTGTCTACATCAACTTGTTTGGTACGGGCAAGGTAATTACCATGAAGAGGCTTATCTTGCCATTCTATCTGCATTTGGTACATTGCATTTGTTTTTGCTTTCTTTTTTAGCTTCTTTGCCACTTCAGTAGGTGTATTATGATTTATTTACACTTCTTCATACACTTGAATTTCCGTTTTGAATTTGTTGTCTTTCTTTATTACTGAATAAAGTCTCTTATTTCTTTCATGTTCGTTGACAAAGTAATATGTAGTTTCTAGGTATCCTTGAAGACCGATTGTTGTGCTTTTGTAATACAGTTCTAGTTGAACACATAATCTGCCACCTTCAGACCTAGGCACATACAGACAATTAGGATGATACCTGTGTTATCTAGTGAGAAGCTTTCTCTTTTTTATTATCCATTCGCTTAATGTCAGCTATGGTCTAATTAGGGATGTTGAAATTGTGTTGCGCCTCAGAGAGAGCAAAAGTGTCTATGGCCGATATTCTGTTTTGTGAATTCAACTCGGTATTTAACACCAGACGCAAATGTCTGTAGTCTTCTTTTCATACTTTCCCTTCATTTGGTTATGCTTTTTTCCATCTCCTTTGCTGACTCCTAGGTATTTATAGGCTTCTTCTGTTCCAGTTCCCTAATCTGCGTGGCAAAATCAAGATCTATTGAGTGTGTTTCTGTAATTCTCCCTTGCTTGAATGTTACATTTATCTAATCCGAAATCCATGCCGATGTCATCACTAAAACATTTTACAGTATTGAGATAACCTTCAACTCACTGTCGTCTTTGACAAAGGGTTTGAAATCATGCATGTAGAGTAGGTGATTAAACACTTTCTTTTTTACTTTGTATCCAAAGTTATTACTGCTTAGTTCATGCAAAAGGGGGATTAAGGACAGACACATCAGAAAGGGCTATAGGTGGTCTTCTTCAAAGATTCCTCATCGGATATTCAAACATTTGGAAGTGACAGTACCTTTGGTGTGATTTATGCATAATGTGTGTCTATACTATATTTAAGGAAATGTACTATCACCCAGGAGACTTTGTACATTTCCAATTTTAAGGATTCAAGAGTGTAGCACACTATCAAAGTCTTTAAGGCAATCTATCCAAGCTGTGCTGAGACTTATAACTTTATTCGGTAATTTTCCAGGATCATTTTATTTATTAGTATTTGATCTTTGCAACCAGATGAACCTCTTTGACATCCCTTCTATTCCAGGGAAAGAATGTTGTTTTCATCGGGAAAAGAGTAAGTACAGTTTATAAGAACAGACGTGATCAATTTATATGAGGTAGACAGACATGTATGGATCAGTTGTATCATCCGTTTCCATTCTGGAATTTTATTAGGGTTATTAAGTAACATTGATAAAGTTTACGCAAAAGTTTTCTGGATTGATCAAAGATGATAGAGCCAAATGTTGGATTCTTTGTCAATACCTGGAAATTGTTAGAGCTTGCCTAACATTATTCTTGGTTATATTTTTATAATAATAATAATAATAACAATTATTACTATTATTATTATTATTATTGCACACAGAGGAAAGACTAGACACGACTTCAACTGGAATAACTCGATTTCCAAATTGTTTTTCTCCTTCTTCTTCTGTTTCTTATTATTATTATTATTATTATTATTATTAAGGCAACTGTATCTTTACACCAGTGACTGGTGGTTATCGCTGGAGACTTGGTGAGAGCAGGTTTCCTCAAATCTACAGCTTCTTGCTCAATATCAAACAATAGAGTCATTACTTTCAATTCTTTCTCGATTTTCTAATTTATCAAATCTCGATTCTGTTGTTTTTGACAAGGCTCCAATTACAACAATTATTACTGGTACGACTCTCACTCTCTTGTTACACAATTTGCTTCTTTTGTCTTTTTATTTCAGTTCCCGAATAAAGACATGTTATATCCCGAATTATTTGAATTCTTTCGTTTTCATAACTTGCTCCACTGACGCAGCTACGTTTATGATGTAGTAAAATACTTTTTTTCCTTGTTTACAATAAAATCTAGTCTTTTTGTTTGGATGGGATGAACAGTCTGAAACTCGTAATTCCAGAGCACCATATTCTTTTTATTTCATTCGACAGCCACATCATTGTGCTGATACGATTTGTTTGCGTAATTATTATTATTATTATTTTATTATTATTATTATTTTCTTTTTCTGGCGTTTACACATTTCTTTCCGGATCCCGCCCAGGGACCTAAGGTTAGAAATAGCATCATGACACTTTCCACTGACAAATTTTTAAAAAAATTACATAGATAAATCCTTTCGTAAAGTGTGTATACGGGTGGTGTTATGTCTATACATACGCATTTGTATGTTGAAATGTTGAAATTTAAACATTGGAATTATGATAGGTAAAAATTATTATTATTTATATATATTTTTTAAATTTTTTAAAAAAAAAAAAAAAAAATGAAAAAAAAGTACCTATTATCCGAATTCATACCAAACGGATAAAACAGACAAACCACCAACAATCACAATTTAATTTCAAGATACCATCATAATAATTGCATCTATCATTATTATCATTGCACCACCATTAGTAATCACTTTTACCACTTTACAATATCTATTAACTAACAATATTATCATTACCACCAACACACAGCACCATCACTTACACATCACACCCACTATTAACATATAAATACAATCTTTATTAATCCCCCAGCATATTTAATACCTTAAAACAATATGATTAGATATAATTTCCATATGTAACCATGAGAATAAACACCTATTACCAGGCAGCTTTAATATAATAACAATAATAATTTTGTAATTAAAAATTAAAAATTATAGCAATCTTCAACTACCATAATTTTACACAGAATACCTATTATCAGGATTTATACCAAAATAAATTAATACATATAACAAAATAAAATAAAAATAAAATAAAACACCAACAACCACTTTTTAGTTCAAGCTACCACCACTACCTACCACCACTATAACTACATTCATGGTTTTATCATTCTCCCACCACCGTTACTAATCATTTCTACCAATTTACAATAACTATTAGCTAACTATCATTGTCTCCAATCCCTTGAAACATTACTCTCACATCATATCATATAGACCCGTTATTAAATTAAACTACCCTCTCACCCAGCACATTGAATATTAAGCATCACCATATAAAATAACCAATAAGGATTACAAATTTCTACCTGTTACATATACACAGTCACCAAAAACAAACAAATAACCAGCTTTAAATATAACAAATAAACCCCCTTTTTTTTTTTTTTAAATTTAAAAATAAATATAAATAATAATAATTTTTACCTATCATGATTTTACACAAACCCCACCACACGTATATACATACATGCGAGGAAATATTTTTCAGCGGAAAATACATAATATGACATGTATACATTCACGAAACATTAACGAGACATTTCCGCCACACTTCCAATGTTTAAATTTCAACATTTCAACATACAAATGCGTATGTATAGACATAACACCACCCGTATACATACATATGTCATAGCCGAAACTGCCCACATATGTTTATATATGATAGATTCTTAGAACCTTTTCGTTGAACGGGGAGAGAAAGAAGATACTGCAAAGATCCACTAAAAAATAACACACTCTCTCTCTCTCTCTCTCTCTCTCTCTCTCTCTCTCTCTCTCTCTCTCTCAATTTTCTTTGTCGTTTTTACCAGCACTTATCCTTTTTTCTCATTCTCGTTGAACAGGTCAGAAATCCCGTGTCTCCGAGATCTCAGTAGCGGATTTTCTCCCACGCACTGACATGTACATGACTTACGAGGGTTCTTTAACACATCCTGGTTGTGAAGAGACTGTCACGTGGATGATTATTAATAAACCAATGTACATCACTAAATCACAGGTACGTAAACAATTAAAATGGAGATGCCACGTGTCACTGCTGTCAACTGGACATGTTTCCCTACGGATCTTCTCTTGGAACCAATCACCATCTTCAAGCTTAGAAATGTCGAGGTAGACATGCTGTCCAAAAATTCTATATTCAAATTACCAGTTTATGGTTCACAACAATATTACTTTCCAGGAATCATCTATAGACAATTCCTCAGCAAATTCTGAAATTTTATTGATGAATCTAAGAAAATATGCAATTTACTTATCAACAAATGGAAACCGACTTTTATTTTCATTTCAATTTCACGATTTCTTTCATTATTTTAATATAAAATTCACTTGCTCAAACGCAAGTCATTAATTTTTCAACTCGACTATAGAGAGAAAGATGAGATGTTAAAGGTTCATTGTCTTATAAAGGATACATAGATAGATAGATAGATAGATAGATAGAAGAGGCGGAAGCTACTTGCTTTTTTCTTCTAATTGTACAATACAATCTGTTTTCACACAAAACGAAATGGGTTAGTTTTTAAATGACGCCAGTTTTTTTGTTTTTTTTTCTGTGCTTCTTATTTTGATCCTTTTAGACGATAATTATGCAATTTCTCTTTACAAACAGTAAAGCAATGTCGTTCTTATTTTGTATAACTTATTCTAAGATAGTTCTTCATTCATTAAAATATAAGCGTATCTTCTGCTAAATGTATTTTCTTTTCTTTTTTTTTGCACCTAAGAATGATACAATAAATGGGATTTAATAGTTGAATACATTCAGTATATTATTCGGTTACTACACAATTAAAGAAAAATCGAACAAAGTTTTCACAAATATCGAGATTTACAAGATGTATTGAAAAATTTCTTGACTATTTATAGAAAAATTATAAAAAATTCACGACTCAAAACAAATCTTGTGTAAGATTCGTCGTCTGCTAAGGACAAATGAGTTCATTAGGTCAGTGTTTTGAATCCAAGTAAATTACTAGAAAATGTAGAATAAACGGAAAATAAACATCAAATAAAAAGTAAATGTAATTGTAATAAAACGCAAATAAAACAGAATATGATTCTATTCAATTATCAGGATAACTGAATTGAAGTGAGTATGATTATCAATGGTAATCCCGCACCATTATGTAGACTTGTATTAACTGACATATGTGAGCATCAGCTGAATTATTGGTAGCGGGTTATTTACCACTCATGACACTGTTCAAGTACAGGTTCGTAAATATCATTTCGTTGTACACACACACACACACACACACACACACACACACACACACACACACACACACACACACACACACACACACACCTATGTTATTGACCCCCCACGCTCTTAAAGATATATTTGCCTGAGTCAAATAATTGTATTTTTAAATAGATAAAAATTGTATAGTGTGTTCTTTAGGACTAGTTTTCTTCATAAGGTAATCGAAGTGACGCCAGACAATAATATACCATATTATTATCAAATCAAGTAGAAATGACCATTTGAAGACACAATAAGGAAAAGGTGTGTTTTAACAAAAAAATAAATTGAAAAAATAGAAATTCCTATTTTCTTTTGAACAAACTACTTCTGGTCAACCAAAGAAAAAATAAATTTTCACGGGAAAATAATCCTGATTGAAGCATTTGGGAATTTAGATAATATAATGGATGCAAAGCATACGGGCTGTGTCATATATATATATATATATATATATATATATATATATATATATATATATATATATATATATATATATATATATATATATGTACAAATATATGCTTATAATTATTATGGCTTTCTTTTCTTATTATAAATGTTTATGCGCACGTGTGCACAAATGTATACATCTGCATATAGATGTACATGTCACATAAAACTGTTCTCAAATACCAATAGCAACTCGAGTTTGTAAAGATAGATTTACACGCGTACATCAACATGGCACCAATACACTTATAAAAGACTTAAATAATAGATACTTAAACAAATACGTAAATCGGTTTGTGCATACTTAATCGACAGTATTCCCGTATTATTGTTGGAAAAGTGTTAGCCAATTTTAAATTAAAAACAGTAAAGAACTAACGACAATTAGAGACAATATGTATTTAATTAAATCTACAATGGTATTCATTGGTCTGACGAATCTAGGCCTAAAGCGCAAGCCTCTGTTACATACACACACACATATATATATATATATATATATATATATATATATATATATATATTTATATATATATATATATATATATATATATATATATATATATATATATATATTTGATTTAGATAAAATACATTGGATAAATTAATTTTAGAGTCTGTCTATATTTCTGAGATGAGGTATTATGCACATTATTTACATTATTCGGGCTATTGTCCTCATCTTCGTCGCCATATTTATCACAACGTTTAGGCCATTGTACGCTCCGGCCTTCTTCAGGTGTTTGGAATGTCGAACTGAATCCTTTATTTCGCTCACTGGGGTAGACTGTTCTAGTTCCATGTGCCATGTTTGATGGATATCAGTTATCTCCTGTTAATTTCCCTCTGAAAGTTCTCCACTGTCTTAACGGGTATTGAACTCACACTGTTTGGGTCCTGTCACTGGATCTAAACAACGCCTTTATCCACGTGTCCTTGAGGAGGGAAATTAACAGGAGATAACTGATAACTGACATCCATCGAACATGGCACGTGGAACTAGAACATTCTAACCAAGTGAGCGAAATAAAGGGTTCAGCTCAACATTCCAACCAACTGAAGAAGACCGGAGCGTACAATGGCCGAAACGTTGTGATAAATATGGCGACAAAGACGAGGACAATAGTCCGAATAATGTAAATAATATAAATTAATTTTAATTTTCTATTTTCTGTCTGATAGCTAATTAGGCAAAAATACTGTATAATTTTTAAAGTTTTATTAAATGAAATAAAAGTATATTTAATATATATATATATTTTTTAGTTCAGAGTTTGAGGGACTCAGGTGTACCGTCCCTATTTGTTACAACGTAGTTGTATTGCACTCAGCTTAATCCGTTCCATTTTATTGCAGGTCAGGATTAAAAATTATTTATACGACTCTTGGTATTACTTATCACACAAACCTTTCCTGACTAATGTAAGTCCAGGTTAAATAAAGTTAGTCATGGATTTTAAACAGATAGTCAATTAATGTATTAACAAAATATGTTTACAGAAAAGGAAAGAAAGAAAGGAACTTTATTGGAAGTTGTCGAAGGTTCAACACAATCTTCAGCTGATAGCTCGTGTTGTAGAAGCTAGAAAAAAAAACGTGTTGCCGCTCATGTGACCAAAGGGAAAGGGCGAGGCTTTAAAAAATCGTGCTGCCTGTATTTGTAAGTCAGCTTCGATTGTTATACGTAAACAGTTACTAATGTTGATCGCAAGTAAAATAAATCTACAGTGAAATAAATTCGACAAAAATGAAACTCTAAAGTTCTAACAAAAACGTATTGACGAAATACATCATCAACGAATACCAAAAAGTGACTTACGCTTATCACCCGATTATTTGCAAAAAGAAGTCGATAAATTCGTAGACAAGAAATGTTTGAAGCATAAAAGCTACTCATGAAAACGTACTTTTAAGTGTCATTTAGTTTGCTATTATTTTAATATTCATACTCATTATCTTCAGACGTTATTGTCTTATTTGTAAATTTAAATATTGATTACCAACAAATATATTTTTGGTTATATTTTTGGTCTTAATTTGACTTACAGTGTTTTGAAACAGGGCCATAAAATACCATTGTAAAGAAAACAATGTCAGAAGGCAACTTGAGGTTCATAGTATAGTACAGTATAGATAGATAGATAGATAGATAGATAGATAGATAGACAGACAAATGGAGCTTCTCACATAGATAGATAGATAGATAGATAGATAGATAGATAGATAGATAGATAGATAGATAATTCAACAGCAATTAATTTAAATGATTCAATATTTTATATAGTCCATTCCTGTCACTTAATTTTCAACAAAGATCTCGATTATGTCAATGTATATCTCCTGACCCACGTATTGTTCTTTGCCAAAATAAGAAGGTCGACAACTGTAAGCGACATGGGCTACGAAATGCAAAAGCGTCTTAGAGTAATTGGCTCGCTGAATCCATTTCTTAAATTGGCATTCCGTGATATTAGATGCGCTAGGGTTATAGAGTGCAATTCTCATTTACGCTTTTTCTATCGATCTCTTCGCCTTACTCTATATTATATTTTACATGTCGCTCGCACTTTCTTTTATATGGGCATATATTTAAACCGACTTTTACTTGTATCCATTGATTGCATTCAGAGTCTGTCTACTTACCTGTCTGTCTCTCTGCCTCTCTTTTTCTCAATATATATATATATATATATATATATATATATATAATGCTTTCCTTTGGTTAGATTTTGAGAAGTGGGTTAGAATGAAAACCTTTCAGCACCCGTGAAATATATAAAATCTGACCAAAGAACCAAACATCAGAATTTTGTTAGGAATCGATGCGAGAAGTTTCCAAGGCTAACACACACACACACACACACACACACACATACATACATACATATATATATATATATATATATATATATATATATATATATTACTTCAAACGTTATGTTTAGTGAATACCCGTATTTGAGTAGACACACCGTTTTTTTAAACATTTCATTTCGTCTGCCGGCCTGCCCACTAAAGAAAATGTGCCCTATGGCAGGATTCAAAGGCAAATAGAACCTGACTTAACTGCGAAGCTGTCCATAGCCGAGCGTTCAAAGTACGACGGATCAGACGTTGGTTTCTTCTGTAAAGGGGAACACGGGTAAAAATCCTGCCAGAGGGCACATTTTATTTATTAAGCTTTCTCGAGTGCACAGGTTGGTAGACGAAATAAATACTGTTTAAAAAAAACGGAGCGTCTACTCAGATACGCGTATCCACTAAAAATAACGTTTGTAGTAATTAAAATATGTCGCATTAAAAATAAAAATCATTAATTCTTTAGAAATATATATATATATATATATATATATATATATATAGAGAGAGAGAGAGAGAGAGAGAGAGAGAGTGACAGACAGGCAGAAAAACTTTTCTTTTTTATTTACTTATAGTTCACTCAATACAAGGCCCAAGTGCCGCTCAAGATAGAGAGTTATTGAGTGAGATTGT